CAACACAGAAAGGAGAATTCTACTTCGTGAGGGTTATAATCCCTAAGAGCGGCCGAAGCTCGCCTACGCAGAAAGGTGTTCTCGGTAAAAGGTGTTCAGCCCCACTTCTTTGGCAAAAAAACAATGCATTTGTTAAAAAGAATTTTTTTTTATATAAACTTGTTTGGTCATACATTTTTTCAATAAAGAATAGCATTATTGTATGTCAGAGAGGTATTTTTATTACCTTTCTAACGACATAAAAATCTTTGAAATATAATTAATGGTTTACGAGATAAGCTTAAGTTTAAAAAATCAATTTTTTGACTTTTTGGCCTTGAATAAAACTTACATTTTTTGTTTTCACCAAAAACAAAATGTGTTGTTGTAATCTTTATAAATTCCTCTATAGAGCCCACTAATTTTTGTGGGGAAAGGTATGTAAACTGAACTTGTTCCGCAAACAAAACAAAATGGCTGCAATGGTGAATACAAAGATGCTACCGAACATCTAGTAAATCTGGAAAATTAAATAGGTACACTAAAATGAAGGGATATTCAACAATCTACTTCTGTTTCATAAAGATCTCGATAACATTAGGGAATAAATGAGTATGTCTGCCGCGCTTTAAAAAAAAATCAATACTTCGATAAATAATGAAAATGTTTAATAAAAAATCACTTGATTTTATATAAATCGTTTTTTTATTAAAAATTTTCGCCTCGGGCGCTTTAAAAAAAAACAATATTTCGGTAAATAATGAACATTTTTATAAAAAATTGCGCGAAAAGCTTTCGACTGCGGTACTTTAAAAAAAAAAATCGATAATTCGATAAATAGTGGACAATTTTATTAAAATCAGTACTTCGTCTGCGTCTATTTTTTTATGTAAAACAGTATTTCAGTATAAAGTTAACATTTTCAATAAAAAACCCACGACATTTTGTTACTATTCTCATCATCTAGTAGCACCAACATCTGTGTTCATTTTCAACACTTCCATGTAATCAATGCAATTTGAATGGTGAATTGTGCAATTTGAAAAGATAATAACTTTTTATATAGAAGCCTCCGTGTTCTGGCGTTTTCACTTTTAGAATCGGAAAAAGCTCCTCTGCACGCCCCCATTTTTTATTTATTTTTTATTTTTAATTTGGACCGAATGGAAATGTTTCTCCTTTTTTTCAAAGACATGTCCATTATTGGAAAATTTTCCCTTCCTATACAATAGTAGCTTATGTCGAAAGGTTGGCGTTAGTATAATGCGGCAATCGCAGCATACGATTGCGATTGATTCACTGGCAAATGAACGTGAAAGTAATAGCTCCGACACTAGCAAGTCAATATTCTTATTAAGGCTGTGTGCGAGTTGACCTAAATTTTAGTACCTAAACTAATATTCCACTGGAAATTTCCAGCACTGCTACAATTTAGGAAAACAGCTGCTAAAACTGTGCGAGTTCGTTTGACAACCTAAATTGTTTGTTTTGGAATTTGAGTTTGTTTGCTTTTAATAAATATATCTATAAAATGAATAATTTTGTGGTAGCTTTGGGACTATTTAACAATATAACAGATTTGCAACAGAAAAGGAGAGTGCTCCATCCAGGCATCTATAAAAGAATCCGTTTGCTCTTCTGACCCATCGAATTACACATATACTTATCTGAATGCAAAAAGCAAATAAATTTATACTTACATCTTTCTGAATATTTTCTTTTTTGTGCCATAGCAACGTTAAAAATTATTTAAAACATCAAAAAATCGTTGTTCACTTAATCGGTCACTCAAATATATTTGACTGTTCAATTTAGGTTGAAAAGTATGCTCGCAGAAAATCTAAATTGTTCCTATTCACTGCGTTACCGACACTTTCCAGTGATTTAGGATTTTTCTCTATTTAGGTAGCAATTTAGACGTACTCGCACACAGCCTAAGTCTCGTCCAAAAATTCCTTTTCGTTTAAAGAATAAAGGTAATGCCACATTATACTAAAGCCAGCGTCCCGACATTAAGCTACTACTCCATACGAACACAGATTTTAAAATGTTGAAAAATTTTATTTTTACCTCATATGTGTGTATGTATATTCTTTATTTTTTTAATTGCGCCAAATAATAATAATATGGTGGAAATCCACGTAAAAAGAACTATCGATCTGCATTGTTAGTTTTTCTATAGCTAAGCGGTTGGTTATCACCAGAAGGGAAAAACAGTTTACGGGAGGAAGGGTATGAAAAGTTGCGAAAAAATTATTTATATCTCCACCGACATCATGTTCATCGCAGTACGGCTGCGGTAATACTGACTTTGTGCACCAAACAAAGAGCGTAAATTT